GAAGCAACATGAGCTGTATCATTAACATAGAAATATGGCCTGGTCAGTTCTGATATACTGAACATGAACCAAAATATGAAATCTACAGCACGCTCTGAGGGGAGGAAGCCACTCTGCTAGAATAAGGTGTAAACAGTAGTAAGTGAAGATAGGAGGAACCTATTGATAACACAGGGAAGTGTTATTGAAGCGGCCTAAAAATATAAGAATGAAATATAACTCAAGGCAAAGTGAGGCGCCCGTCAGCAAATCTTACGCATGGGTAAAAATAAAGGTCAGGGCAAAAGCCATTTTTGTGCAATTTATTATCTTGCTGGCACAATATACAAGCACAGTACTTTGTCTGTTCTTACCCGATGATAAAACACCATAGGCCTACCGGTTGCGCGCTCCACCACCACCTGTTTCCCAAATGTATAATGACCAGGTCTCCCCTCCCCCGGTGCTCTGACTGGTAGCTTGCTAGTGATGCGTCTTATTACATTGCATTTAGCTGACGCTTTTATCCAAAGCGACTTACAATAAGTACATTCGACCAGGAAGACACAACCTTGAAGAAAACAGAATCATAAAGTACATCAGGTTTCATAGAGCCAAACATTTCAAGTGCTACTCAACTGGCTTTAGGTAAGCCAGTCCTTTATTAGTATAAAAGTGCTTCGTTAATAGTTTGAAGTGGAGTCGAAAGAGATGAGTTTTCAGTTTTGCGCCGGAAGATGTGCAAGCTATCTGCCATCCTGATGTCAATGGGGAGCTCATTCCACCATCTTGGAGCCAGGACAGCAAACCCACGTGTTTTCGCCGATGGGAACTTGGGTCCCCCTCGCAGCGAGGGCGCAACGAGTCGTTTGGCTGATGCAGAGCGGAGTGCACGCGCTGGGGTGTACGGTTTAACCATGTCCTGGATGTAGGAAGGGCCAGATCCATTCGCAGCATGGTAAGCAAGTACCAGTGTCTTGAAGTGGATTCTAGCAGTTACCGGAAGCCAGTGAAGGGAGCGGAAGAGCGCTGACAGGACCTTTGTTACTGTTTAGAGATTTTAATACTGACTGAGGGAATCTTTTCGATCATCAGTCACTTCGGCCTCATCATGTGTCTCATCAGATGTAGCTCGGTCATCCATCTTCAGTCTGAAACACTGCGGCTGATTGGTTATGTGCGTCCTCATGTGTTTATTTAACCTGTTCAGCCCCGAGCCTGTTTTTCAGGTCTCAGGCTCGAAAATGACATTCCAGAACGAATGATCATATCTTCACTTCGTTTTTAGTAAGGCTTTGCTTTATTGAAAGATATTCAATTTACAGTGCAAATGCAATATGTATTACACATTAAACATTTGTACGTGAGAAAATAGATTCAAAAGAAAGAAAAAATATACATGTGAACAGATACACAAGCAAATGTACTTCGAAGTCTATTATATTTAGATTTTGACAACAATGGGAAAGAAGGTATATAAGGCATGTGATACACAGATCATAGTAAGAATAACGTTTTTTTTGTTTTGTTTTTAAAACAAAAAAGGACTGAGACAGGACAAATAAAACAACAGCAAAATCAAAAACTAAAGGCTGTGAGTCTAAGTCCATTATTAATAACGTAATGAAAAAGTAGAAATCAAACAATGTGTATAAAAGGAAAAAAATACCAAAAAAAAACATAGCACTTTTTTTAACAGAGCAGGTCGATCGCACAGAGACATCCGGCGTGTCCAGCTCCCGTATATACCTGCAGAAGGGGTTCCACATCTTGTGGAATTTCCCCAGGGAGCCCCTCACTATGCACCTTATCTAACCCCTAACCCTAAATCTTCACTTCTAAAAGGGGTAAATTAATCATCTTATTTCTCAAAGCAATGATAAACCTGTGAGTTGGATGTAGAAAAGTCAGAATCAATATAGATGTTTTTATTTCAAAGTAAATTCAGATTGAACACAGTAACAAAATGTAAATTATAGTGCCCGTCCAAAAATAAAATAAAAATAAGTGCCCTGTATCAAGATTGATGCAAAACAAGAGACATGTGACCTTTTTAGAGAGGTTTAGTAAAGAAAAACACAACTGGGGTCATTTGGGTGGATTTGACCTATCTCTGGCCCCCCTTGCTCGATTTTGATGATTGACATCTCTTTCTAACCGTCAGAGCCAATGGAATCGAGGGGAGGCTCCACATTCACACACGTTACCAAATAAGGAGTGAGAGTGACGTGTAGCCAGACTACCCACCTGACCCAGAAAGCGACGTAGGTTCTGGTCCAGGCTCTCGTCATCTCACGCCTAGACTACTGCAACTCCCTCCTGGCTGGTCTACCTACATGTGCCTCTGACCTCTGCAGCTCATCCAGAATGCAGCGGCTCGTCTGGTCTTCAACCTTCCTAAATGTTCCCACACCACTCCGCTCCTCCGCTCCCTTCACTGGCTTCCGGTAACTGCTAGAATCCACTTCAAGACACTGGTACTTGCTTACCATGATGCGAATGGATCTGGCCCTTCCTACATCCAGGACATGGTTAAACCGTACACCCCAGCACGTGCACTACGCTCTGCAACAACCAAACAGCTCGCTGCACCCGCACTGCGAGGGGGACCCAAGTTCCCATCAGCAGAAACACGTGGGTTTAGTCAGTCCCCTCCTGCTCCCTGGCTAAATGACGCACTGCGTGCTAATATAACCATCCTTCGGGCAGCAGAGCGGAAACGGTGGAAATCGAAACACCAAGACGACCTCCTAACCTATCAGGCTCTCCTCTCCTCTTTCTCTGCTTCGATCTCTCAGGCAAAAAGCACTTTCTTTCAAGATAAGATCCAATCTTCCTATTCCAATCCTAAAAAACTATTTTCCATCTTCTCCTCCCTCCTGGACCCTCCCAAAGCTCCTCCCCCCTCCTCCCTCTTGGACCCCCACAAAGCCCCTCCCCCCTCCTCCCTCTTGGACCCCCACAAAGCCCCTTCCCCCTCCTCCTTCCTGGACCCTCCCAAAGCCCCTCCCCCCTCCTCACTTCTGTCAAGCGACTTTGTTACCCCACTTTGAAAAAAAGGTTGATGATATTCGCTCTTCTTTTTCTGACTCACCTCTACTCACCGCTGGGTCACCAGACCCTCCTTCCACCAACACACTTACCTCCTTTTCCCCTCTCTCTCCAAGTGAGGTTCTTACCCTCATTACCTCTGCCCGCCCTACCACCTGTCCTCTGGACCCTATCCCTTCAAACCTCCTTCAGACTATCGCTCCTGATATTCTACCGTTTCTCACCCATTTCATCAACACTTCTCTAACTTCTGGTCACTTTCCAAACAGTCTCAAGGAGGCAAGAGTAAACCCTCTCCTAAAGAAACCCACTCTCAACCCGTCTGATGTTATGAACTACAGGCCTGTCTCTCTCCTCCCGTTCCTGTCTAAATCACTTGAACGCGCTTGTCTTTTAAACAACTCTCCTGTTATCTCAATCAGAACAACCTTCTGGATCCGCACCAGTCTGGTTTCAAGGCAGGTCACTCCACAGAAACTGCCCTCCTTGCTGTCACTGAGGAACTGCACACTGTCAAACCTGCATCCCTCTCCTCTGTCATCATCCTGTTGGACCTGTCTGCTGCATTCGACACGGTGAATCATCAGATCCTCCTTCGCACTCTCCAAAAACTTGGAGTTTCAGGCTCTGCACTTTCCCTCCTCACCTCATACCTGAAAGACCGTACCTACAGGGTGACTTGGAGAGGATCGGAGTCCGACCCTTGTCAATTAACTACAGGGGTCCCTCAGGGCTCTGTTCTTGGTCCCCTCCTCTTCTCCTTGTACACAAACTCGCTCGGATCTGTCATTAGCCCGCATGGTTTTTCATACCACTGCTACGCTGACGACACCCAATTGATTCTGTCCTTTCCCCGCTCAGAGACCCAGGTCGTCGCACGCATCTCTGCTTGTCTAGCTGACATCTCTCAGTGGATGTCTGATCATCACCTCAAGCTCAACCTTGACAAGACTGAACTGCTTTTCCTTCCGGGAAAAGATTGTCCCACTCTTGACCTAACAATCAACATCGGCACCTCAGTTGTTTCCCCGACTCAGACTGCAAGGAATCTGGGTGTGACCCTAGATAACAACCTGTCCTTCACTGAAAACATAGCTGCTACAACCCGCTGCTGCAGATACACGCTTTACAACATCAGGAAGATACGTCCCCAGCTGACACAGAAAGCCACTCAGGTTCTGGTCCAGGCTCTCGTCATCTCACGCCTAGACTACTGCAACTCCCTCCTGGCTGGTCTACCTGCATGTGCCATCCGACCTCTGCAGCTCATCCAGAATGCAGCGGCTCGTCTGGTCTTCAACCTTCCTAAATGTTCCCACACCACTCCGCTCCTCCGCTCCCTTCACTGGCTTCCAGTAACTGCTAGAATCCACTTCAAGACACTGGTACTTGCTTACCATGCTGCGAATGGATCTGGCCCTTCCTACATCCAGGACATGGTTAAACCGTACACCCCAGCGCGTGCACTCCGCTCTGCATCAACCAAACGGCTCGCTGCGCCCTCGCTGCGAGGGGGACCCAAGTTCCCATCAGCAAAAACACGTGGGTTTGCTATCCTGGCTCCAAAATGGTGGAATGAGCTCCCCATTGACATCAGGACAGCAGATAGCTTACACACCTTCCAGACTGAAAACTCATCTCTTTCGACTCCACTTCGAGCGATAGAACTATTAACAAAGCACTTATATACTAATAAAGGACTGGCTTTTCTAAAGCCAGTTGAGTAGCACTTGAAATGTTTTTGCTCTATGAAACCTGATGTACTTTATGATTCTGTTTTCTTCAAGGTTGTATTTTGTTGGTCGAACGCACTTATTGTAAGTCGCTTTGGATAAAAGCGTCAGCCAAATGCAATGTAATGGTTTGCTATCCTGGCTCCAAAATGGTGGAATGAGCTCCCCATTGAAATCAGGACAGCAGAAAGCTTACACACCTTCCAGACTGAAAACTCATCTCTTTCGACTCCACTTCGAGCGATAGAACTACTAACAGAGCACTTATATACTAACAAAGGACTGGCTTATCTAAAGCCAGTTGAGTAGCACTTGAAATGTTTGGCGTTTTAATGCTTTAGATCAGAATAACAGCTAAAGGTGAGCATATCTCCGTGTTTGGCTACCTAAAGCTCTGTGGTGTGTTGTCTGGTTTTGCTTCCCCTGTCGCGAGTTCTGATCGCTCAGTGATGATACTTATAGGTATCGAATCTGTGGAATATCAGCTTGCTAGCAAAGCTTGTTTGTGCAGATCTGATAAGTAATAAAGTATTTATACCTAGAATTTTGTGCTCAGGGCTCATTTAGACGCTTCTTGTAAGACTTGTGTTTTGTTTCGGTAAAAATTGTTCATATCGTCAGTTAGCAGAGTTTCTTCTCGTTAAGTGAGTATGACATATTCATAGTTTATTACATTTTAAGAAGCCCTGAGACACAGTTTCATGAACAGGTTAATCTACATATTTTGTAAATGATTTTTTACAACTGAGTAACTGTCTGGTTTCTCTCCTGTATGAAGTCTCATGTGTTTAGTTAAACTGTTAACCTGTGTAAATGATTTCTCACAGACTGAGCAGCCATATGGTTTCTCTCCTGTATGAACTCTCATGTGAATTGTTAAATGTCCCTTTAGTGTAAAATATTTCTTACAGACTGAGCAGCTGTATGGTTTGTCTCCTGTATGGGTTTTAATGTGTGAATCTAAATGTCCAGTACATTTAAAATATTTCTTACAGACTGAGCAGCTGTATGGTTTCTCTCCTGTATGAACTCTCATGTGGGTCTTTAAACTAGATCTCGCTGTAAAACATTTCTCACAGACTGAACAGCTGAATGGTTTCTCTCCAGTATGAACTGCCATGTGGTACTTTAAACTAGATCTCCTTGTAAAAGATTTCGTACAGACTGAGCAGCTGTATGGTTTCTCTCCTGTGTGGATTCTCATATGTATATTCAGACTTGACTTGCGGGAAACAATTTTCCCACACTGAGAGCATCTATAGCGCTTCTCTCCAGCACTACACCTTGAATCGCTGACAGGGTTTTGATTATTTTCCTGAGAGTTTGAACCTGACTGAGGTTCTCCGGTCTCCCTCCAACTAGCACTGTCTTCAGTGTCTTCAGAAGAGTCTCCAGGGTTGTCCTCAGCCTCTGGTTCAGAAGAGTCTCCAGTGTGGTCCTCAGTCTCTGGTTGTAAATGTGTCTCTGGATCTGAGCTCCTGGCTGGTTCTGGTCCTCCACAGTCCTCCCCATCAGCTTCTGTTTCCATGTGTTGAGTTTGTCTTTGATGAAGCTGAGAGGACTGAGGTTTCTCTTCATCATCTTCACTCTTCACAGGGTCAGGAGTGATTGTGGACTTGGTGATATCAGCCTCCTCCAGCCCATGAAGCTGCTCTCCCTCCTGACTGCTCCAGATTTCCTCCTGTTCCTCTTTAATGTGTGGGGGGGGCTCTGGGTCCTCCTGGTCCAGACTGGAGCTCCACTCCTGCTGCTCAGGGGGAACCTCTTCTTTAACCACCAGCTGCTGGACGTCTGCAGGAAACAGGAAGCACAGTCAGAAAAACTGTGTTAGAATTTAAAATCTAATCACCTTTACAAGTTGAGTCGTTTTGCAGCCCTAATCAATGCCTTCGTTTATATACTTGCATACCTCTTCTAGTTCAGCCAGATTGTAAACTATCAATTATTTTGGGGACCAATCACAGCTACTCTGCGCCTATAGGATTGGAAATGCTTCTCTAGTAGTTAAAGTCCTGCATTCAGACCTTATTTAAGTGCAAGTTGTATCAGAAAAATTTACTTCGACCTCTAAAGTAGAAGTTTTGATAGTGCAGTTAAATGTTTCCTCAGTGTTTTATTTTATATAAGGAAGTTTTTTGGTTATTGTGTCTGTTGCACAGACTGAGAGGCTCAGATAACTACAGCTCAGACTGAGAGGCTCAGATAACTACAGCTCAGACTGAGAGGCTCTGATAACTACAGCTCAGACTGAGAGGCTCTGATAACTACAGCTCAGACTGAGAGGCTGATAACTACAGCTCAGACTGAGAGGCTCAGATAACTACAGCTCAGACTGAGAGGCTCTGATAACTACAGATCACACTGAGAGGCTCAGATAACTACAGCTCAGACTGAGAGGCTCTGATAACTACAGATCACACTGAGAGGCTGATAACTACAGCTCAGATTGAGAGGCTCTGATAACGACAGATCACACTGAGAGGCTCTGATAACTACAGCTCAGACTGAGAGGCTCTGATAACTACAGCTCAGACTGAGAGGCTCTGATAACTACAACTCAGACTGAGAGGCTCTGATAACTACAGCTCAAACTGAGAGGCCTGCTCCTTTAACCCCATCCGGAACGATAAAAATAATCCGCTGTTTCCCCGGGGACCCTTTACGATGACGGACCTTGGGACCGGAGACGGGAGAGCAGGCGGAGGTGAGTGTTATGATGTTGACTGTTATAGGAGTAACTTGTACCATTAATGCACCTTATATCATGACCTTTACACGCTAAACATATCCTTTGCACATAATCTCAACCACTGTCAATCTACACAAACCAACACTTTCGGCGCTCTCGCTATAACTCCCCTTTCTTTCCAGGTGGAGCCGAGAGCCCGACCAGCGTCTGCCAGACGACATCACAATTTAATACGGTTGAATCATTTAATACACACCATCAATAAAAAGTGCAAACTTTTCACTAAAGTGCTGTGTGACATTTGTCCTGTGCAAACCCACATGTGCAAGATTACCCGGCCCGAAGTCGTCAGTAACTAAGTTCCATTTTCATTTCTTATAAAAATACATAAAGACCCTAGGATTTGAGCAAGGATTTTGTTGGCAGGAAACAACCCATGTGCTCCATAGACAGACATAAACAGGAAACTACGGCAAGCATTTATGGACACCCAGTGCAAAACCTAAAACCCTTTGCAGGCCCTCTTAAAGGGGCAGCACACTCCCCGCTTGGTATAATGTACCACTAAGTCCCTTTGAGAAGGAGAACAACTTCAGAGACTGGTCTTGAATACACCCTGGGAGAACCTTCTTTAAATCACCCTTACTTCCACTTTACGGACCCTGTTGTCTTGACCAGGAAAGGTATTTACTATAAGTCCAGTAGGCCATTCGTTCCATTTAACCTATCTGTCCTTCAGAAGCACAACGTCTCCGATTTGCAAGTTAGGCTTATCTGCTTGCCATTTTCTTCTTGGTTGTAGTGTTGCAAGGTATTCTTGTCGCCAATGTTTCAAGAATGAATCAGCTAGACTTTGGACTTGCTTCCATTGACTCAGGTAAAGATCTTTAAGGTCAAGGTTTCCAGAAGGAGCTGAAAGTGAGTCTATTTTTGTGTCACAAGCATGGCAGGAGTGAGTACAATGGGCATGTCTGGACCTGATGACACTGGAACTATTGGTCTTGCATTCATTATAGCAGTGACTTCTACCATCAATGTGATGCAGACTCAATCAATCAATCAATGTTTATTTATATAGCCCAATATCACAAATGTTACATTTGTGTCAGTGGTCTTCACAGTGTGTACAGAATATCAGTATGACAATACGACACCCTCTGTCCTTAGACCCTCACATACACAGACTTCATGCGAAAGATTGGGAGAGTGCACCTTGAGCAACATAGCATCCAAAATGCGACGTGCAACCCCTATCATCCTTTCCCACACTCCTCCCATATGTGAAGAATGTGGCAGATTGAAGTCCCATGTACAACTCTGCTTCTTGAGGTAGGACTGGAGCTCGGCGTTTCCTTGTGTTATTTCAAGTTCTTTGCAAGCACCAACGAAGTTCGTCCCACGGTCCGAACGAAAAAGCTTAACTGGGCCCCTGATTGCAGTGAATCTTCTTAGCGCATTGATGAAGCTTGAGGTGGATAGAGACTCAACTACCTCAATGTGTACTGCTCTTGTGACTAGACAAGTAAACATGATGGCCCAGCGCTTGTTTTCTGAGAGACCTCCTCTGGTACGATGAGCGCAAACATTCCATGGTCCAAACACGTCTAGTCCAACATGGGTGAATGGAGGAGCTTGGGTAAAACGATCAGCAGGTAAATTGGACATTTTTAGATTTTCCACACTTCCTCTAAACCTTTGACAGGTGACACACTTGTATATGATGCTTGATACCAGCTTCTTTCCTCCAAGGACCCACAGACCGGCTGACCTGACAGCCCCTTCAGTGATTTGTCTTCCCTGGTGTGCTTGTCGTTCGTGGTAATATCTCACCAGTAATGTAGTGATTACGCGTTAACGCAAAAAAAAATGAACGCCACTAATTATTTTAACGCATGTGTATTTTTTAAAATACCATCTACAAGCTGATGCTGACAGCCCCGCTCCTGCTGCCTGCTTGCGGCAGACCACACTTCCATGCTCACCGGCAGGCACCGACTGGCCATCGGGAGGACCGGGAGGGTGTGTGTATGTGTGAGAGAGAGAGACCTTACGTGTATTGTTGTTGTTAGCATCTGGTGCTAGCTAGCTGCGCTAACGGATATAAGGAGCTGTTTAAATGAAAACAGAGGAGCGACATTTCGCCACAACTGCGCCGAGCACTTGACTTTATGCAGGAAGCCAGACAGTGGACGAGAAGTCAGCACACTCAGCACGGATAGTGCGCAACATGATTGCAGCGTCCAGGCAGCTCGCGTTCGAGCATATGCCTTGAGTTGCACATCTCACACACACACACACACACACACACACACACACACACACACACACACACACACACACACACACACACACACACACACACACACACACACACACACACACACACACACACACACACACCACACACACACACACACACACACACACACACACACACAACACACACACACACACACCAGCACACACACACACACACACACCAACACACATCCACACACACACACACACACACACACACACACACACACACCACACACACACACACACACACACACACACACACACACACACAACACACATACACACACACACACACACTATTGTATGAGAGAGTTGTTCAAATGATAATAAACATTAGCATAAAGCATATTTGTCCACTCATATGTTGATAAGAGTATTAAAAACTTGAAAAATAAGGTACATTTAGAACAGATAAAAAATGTGCGATTAATTTGCGATTAACTATTTTAATCGACAGCCCTAGTAGTGATGTGATGATTTTTTGGGATGATAATTGGGTGTTTCTCTTCCCAAGCGATTGCAGCAGCTGACAAACGACCACCAATCCTCACCATCTATATCCAAGATGGGATCAAGCTTTCTGAGGCGGCTGCTCTTTGAAACCATCTCTCCTTTAACCAGAGCCTGTATTTCTCCTTTGAAGGCTTCTTGCTGAATGCAAAGGATGATTATTATGTTTGCCAGGAGCTCATCTGCTTTTGACTTATCCCCCTTTTTACCTCTGGAACAAGATCTGACTCTCCAGATAAGCTTGGCCACTGCTTGGGTGAGTAGCTCCCAGCTGGAAAAGCGCTCAAATCTGTGTGAACCTAGCTGCGTTTCAGAGGTTGTTGTAGCAAAGGTCGTAATTACCGGGCGCACATCTGTGTCCAAGTCCGGTTCGACAAGCCTAAAGATCTTTTCCTGAGGAGGTGCTCCTTCATCTTTTTTCAGAAAGGAAGGAGCTGAAAACCAGTTTGTACCTCCTAAGAACATAGCTGGTACATACTGTGTACCATGATCTGCAGGATTGTGCTCTGTGCTGATGAAGTGCCACTGTTCAGGACTGGTTGACTTTCGTATGCGTGTAACTCTGTTGGCGACGTACACATAGAACCTCCGGTTTGCTTGTTGTGAATGTAGCCCACACAACTTTACTGTCTGTGTAGAACTTCAGTGTGTCAATTTTGATATCCAGCTCTTCTAACCAACAGCTCAGATAGTTCGACTGCCAGCACAGCTGCAACAAAATTCCAGACGAGGCACAGTATGAGGTGTGACGTGGTGCTAGTTTTAGATTTCCCATGCAGAATCCAATGTGAAACATGTCCCTTACTATCGATTGCTCTGAGGTAGGCCACTTCAGAGATGGCTGTAGTGGATGCATCCGCAAACACAAAGTTATTTGAACTGTGTGGATAGTAAAGAAACCGGTAAGTAAGTCCTGGGAATCTGAAGTAGCTCAAGTGCCATAAGTGAGTCTTTCCAAGACTTCCACTGTGTCTCTTTTTCGGCAGGTAATGGTTCATCCCACTCACAGTTTTCCGTACAGAATTTTCTGAGTAGAGCCTTGCCTTGAACTGTTATTGGAGCCACAAAGCCCAAGGGATCAAACAGGCTGTTGACTGTTGAGAGCACTCCACGACGAGTAAAAGGCTTACCTTCCCTGGACACAAGGAAGGTGAATGTATCAGTTTCAAGGTTCCAGCTGAGGCCTAAACTCCTCTGCAGGGGGAGAGGATCTATTCCTAGTTCAAGGTCCTTCAGATCTTTAGCACGTTCCTCAGGGGGAAAGGCTTCCATCACTTTCCTGTGGTTTGAAGCTACCTTGTGTAGTCTAATGTTTGAATCAGCTAATATTTCTCTTTTTCAGCACACGAATGGCCTCGTCGTCAGTAGGGAAAGAGGAGAGTCCATCGTCAACATAAAAGTTCCTCATGATGAACCGCTTTGCCTCCTTTCCCTGTTCCTCCTGGTCTTGACAGGCAGCTTTTCTTAAGCCATATATAGCAACCGCTGGAGAGGGGCTATTGCCAAGCACGTGGACTGTCATGCGATACTCTTTGACTCTTTTGGCAGGGTCATTGTCCTCAAACCATAGGAAACGTAAGAAGTTGCGGTGCTCCTCACAAACTTTGAAGCAGTAGAACATTTGCTCTATGTCTACAGCAACAGGTTCCTTACGGAAGCGAGTGAGGACACCCAAGAGTGTATTGTTGAGATCTGGACCAGTCAACAGAACGTCATTAAGTGAGATGCCGTCTTGCTTGGCACTGAGTCGAACACCGCTCGAATCTGACCTGGCTTGCGTGGATGATAGACTCCAAAGATTGGTATATACCAACACTCTTGCTCTTCACTGAGAGGGAGCGCAGGTTCAGCATGACCAGACTCAAAGATCTTCCTCATGAAAGTGATCAAATGTTCCTTCATGTCTGGCTTTTTTTAAGCATGTGGCGTAACGTCAGGAGATGCTGGACAGCTTGTGCTCTGTTGTTGGGGAGCTTACGTCTTTGTTCTCTGAAAGGTAAAGGTGCTACCCAACTATTTGAGTCATCCATGAAGACTTCTCTGTCCATTATTTCCAGGAAGATTATGTCTTCTACAGACATGGCAACCTTGTCATCATGTGGTGTCTGCTGGAAAACTCCTTTTCCAAGGTTGTCCGTTTTATCGAACAGATTGCTCATCTCTTTAGCTCTTGGGAAATGGTGGTGAAGAGTTGGAGTATCCACTCTCTCTTTGATGTGCAGAGTGTTATTGCAAGGGTCAAAAAGAGACGTACGTCCATTTATCAGCACGTTGGTCCTGTAGACATTGATGCAGTCTAGTTTGTGGGTTTTTCCAAGACAGACTTCTCCTATGATCACCCAACCTAGGTCGAGGCGTTGAGCATACGGGGCGTTGTGGGGTCCATTGCACAGCTCCCGAACTTTATGTGCCTGTGGTATATCTCGGCCAAGCAGTATGAGAATGTCTGCCGTAGAATCAGGGGCGGCGCCAGGGGGTAGCTTGCTATAG